TATTTCCCTTTTTAAAAAGGTGGTCCTTTTGTTCTTCATGTACTTTTTCAGTGGGGGGGGGAAAAAAAAAATCTATACGCTATATGACAACTCTGTAGAGAAGACAACACTTCAGTGGGGAAGAGAGATTACGCCTTCCAGTCTTGCAGATATTGTGAAAGGGTGACCATAAATGGGAGATTATTTGGAAGACTGTGTCTCTACGAGCAGACAAAAAGCAGCAGCTGTCAGAATTTCAAACAGGATTTCCATATGCTGTTGATTATAGTGCTAAGGCTCAGGTGAGAAAACAGTGATCATCCCTGAATGACAGCAGACTCCGTTAAAACGCTTCTCGGAAATATAAACACAATCAAATGCTCCTTTTGTACTCCTGCTTACACACACTTGTTCTTACACATTTGTGCTCAAAGTCTGTCCATGCCAACCAAATAAAACCTGTTGTGATGTTATGGCAGACCAGCTACGCTATGATAACTCACCACGTTCATTCATTTGCCCCCTGCCACCTCTAAAGGAGAAATAAGTGACAGGTAACCTGCCCTTCGCTCTCTGCAGAGCCATCTGGGCTTGCTGCAGGCTGACATCCTCCTTGCACACCCCCCTGGGGATTCCTGCTCCCGTGCCCAGGCACGCTCCCAGCAGCATCACAGCAGAAAGGTGCCACTTTGTTCATCTCAACATCTTGCCAGCAACACCAGCATATATAAAAGAAACAGTGTCAAACTGAATATATATTAATAGAACTGCTCTGTTGCTGCAGGGCTGCTTCATTAAACTTTGCCAGACATGCCCATTTTTTGTTGTCTTCTTTAGCAAGCCTGCTGATCCATGCTGACAGTCTAGTTGAGCTGTGCAGTCGTGGAGGAACAGGTCATGAGAGAGATCCTAAGCAACACTGAGGCACTGGGTAAACTAATGACCATCTAGAAGAGATGGATAGACAAGACAGCTAGCCAATAGTGGAAATAAAAAGATTGTTTCAACTTGGGTCTTTTTTTTTGTGAATTACATTGAAAAATATGTATACATGTTTTTTTCTCTTTATTCTTAAAAAAAATTAATAAAGGAAATTAGTAACTGGGCTCTAGGTTAATTTAGTTTACATAATGACAAACTCACCACAAGACTGTTGCTTGTCCATAAGAAATTATTTCCCAAATACAAAGCTCAATCTGCAGGGCACAAAGATCAGCTGACTGATTGTTTGCTCATTTGTTTTATTTCCTCAGCCTGTTTTAAACCTTTCAGGTCTTCTACATGATGTCTGAAAGGCAATCGCGGGCAACTGCTCAAATTGCCATAGTGTCTTTCACCCATGTTCCTACCTACATACATTGTGAATGGATGTTCTTGGCACTGAAATTATACATTATGGAAAGAGCTTCTAGGACTGCTCTATCCCCTGGTTTATGTGAAGGGACTGGTACATATCCTTCTCTCTACAGTTGATTACTTTCCAGATCATCCCACTGAAAATCAGTTCGGTGAGTTTTTCCCTGGGTTCACAGACATTCTGCTTAACATTCTTTCATCTGATCAACCACATGAATAAGACTTTGACTTGGAAAGGAGATAAAGATCCAAGCCTTGTTTTTAATTACTTTAACCCAGGAACAATTTGTTGCAGGAGCCTACAGATGGAGTTATCATTGTATCTTAATCGAACATCCGAGTCCACAGTCTTGCTGCATATGCCAGCAATACTGGGCCACAATTAAAGCGGCCATTAAAGCAAGCACACAGTGACCTACTTAGCTACACATAAGCTTTGAAAAATCAAGTGTCCAACTTCCTTAGGTTAAACTCCCACTGAAGATCCTGCATGAGAATACTGAAGTACTTCATTGCTACCACCAACAACACGTGCAAATCTCAAAACAACGAGCTTTCTTCCTAACTCGTGTTTTCTACATCTTGCACATGCACAACAAATCACTCTCTGGAGCAGCTTAAAAGCTGGTGTACACTGTGTGTGCATTTATGCCTGAGGGATGCCCAAAGGCAGACCAATGCTTTGAAGCTAAGATCAAGTGCATGGAAAGCGGGTTCTTCAGCCTAAGGAACCAGGAGCCCTCAAAGGAACCAGCATTCCCTGAATCACAGCCCTGGGAAGGGACCTCAGCACTTGACTCCTCTCAGTGGGAACTCCAGGAGGGCTCTACTAGAGCAAGCCTGTCCAAGGAAATGAACATTAACGACCTTATTAGTATGTAGTTTATGTTACACTTTTCAAGCAAGTGATAAGGAGATAAATCAAGACAAGGCTTACAGGGAATCACTGTTCTGCTCAGGAGATCATTTTTTAAACTACCTGCATCTCCAGAACATACTTTGATGGAATAATTAATGAAGTCCGAATGCTTTTCAATGCTACCAGCTTCCACATAACTCTTCTAATATATGATCTAGCTATTGTAACAAAATCCAGCTATAAAGCAAACGTAAAAACAGTCAAGCTTGCTATTGTTATTCACTGAGAAATATCAGTGAATTCTGAGAAATTATAAAGCTGAACAGATGGCATTTCTGATCTTTATTCAATATCATGGACTTCTTAATTAGATTCCTGCTCAAGTTTGTCTGCTGTGAACAGCCACCCACCCCAGGTTTCCAAACAACCTTAGGAGTCCCACTGCTCCAGCTGACAGAAACTGCCACGTCAGGGGAGTGCCACAGGCACAGCTCCCTGCTGCTTCCACTTGAGGAACTGGTCAGTAGGTAATTAACAAAGGAATTAAAAGGATAACCCAAAAATGCACCTACGCCTTAGCCAAAAAGGCAAATTAATGCTTTAATGTACCATGCTGCTTTATAATTTTAGAATGCTTTATAATTTTAGCGTGCTTTTAGAATTTTAGAATGCTATAATTTGTCATTAGACATCAGTATGCCAGACTCTTTTCTTCCATGTCTTCATACTTTCCTCAAGTTTTAGTCAGATTCATCTTCTGCCACTGACAAACTCAGCCTAGGTTTTCACTGCTTTTTGGAAAACAGTAAGTGACATAATCAAAATGAAACTAAGTGCACAGGCTGTGCACAGATGACAAGAACTTACAAGCCAACAAACCGTACAGCTACCCCGCAGCACTGAGTCACGGCAAAAACCTGCAGCATTCTCTGTGGTTTCCAACCCTAGAGTCCCCCAACAGCTACTAGTCTTACTACATTACAACGACCTACCTTGGAATGTTCATCAACATGACAAGTTATGACTTTTTACAAATGCTGTAGTGAATAAAGCCTCAGCAGCATTTTAAATCTGAGACAATAGAGCACAGAAGAAACAAAAGAATATACCTGAACAACAAATCTGATTTAACATGATGCCACAGCATCACAGCTATTCTAAAAAAAAAAAAAAAGTTGCTTTGAGGTTTTTTTTATTACTATTTTTATTTTATATAATATCCTGAAATTAAAAGCTAATATTAAAAATAGCTGGGCTGTTTCATAAAAGCATCCTTTTAAGAAGTCGAGGATCCTACTAACCAGACAACAGCAAATGAGCAGAGCTTCTGCCTGTGAATTCCTCTGCTTTTGGTGCCCTAAGCTCCTTTCAAGTTACAGAACTCTACTGTCGTTAGAAAACACAGCAAAGCTCCATTCTATTGTTTTTAATCAGTATACAAGAGTGTTAAAAAAATAATAACTTAATGTAAAAATTATCGTTTTTACTATTTCAATATCAAATAATATCAATCATCTCCAACTAAAAGTTACCTGCATTAGGTGTATCAAACTGGAAAGAAAATCTAACTCAGAGTTCTCTTGCCTATTCATCCTCAATGCAACTCAAAACTGTTTTCCAGGAGCAAAAAAAACCAATCCTCTCATAGCACTGAACAGGGCAGAAGCCCTCTGGAATTACAACCATTGCCTGGGAAAGTGTTTAAGACCACTACAGAAAAATTCCTTTGATGAATATATATCCAACTCTCTTTCCTAGGATTTGGTGATATGCAGAACTGCTCATGGGGCTGCACTTCTTCAAAGATGGATGGATTAGGGCTCCTGACGTAGGTTCCTGCTATTAAGACCAAATCCAGCCCACTGACGGATTTTGTGCTAACTATCAGCCCACAGTGCTTCAGTCCCTTTATGAAGCATATTAATTAAATCACTGTGATTCTTGTAATTGAGGACAGGGGGAAAAAAAAAAAAGAAAACTACTAGAACAATTCAAAAATAATGAAAAGCTGAATAGAGATTCTCCCATCATCCTTTTTATAAAATACCATGACCGAGCCTTTGAAAAATCTTTAAAACAATTTCTCTGATTCACATACTTTAATCAACGGTGCTTGGAGCAACTTGCCCTCCCAAAAGCTCAAATGTACCAGGACTTTGAACTGCTCTACAGAATGAAAGATACATGCATATGTCATCTGCAGACTTATGCAATTGTGTGGTGCAGAAAAAAACTTCAGATACTTATGGTGATTATCAGAAATCTAATTTAGTACTGGTTTTACCTTAGAGAAGTGAGAGACCAGAAATAGCACATCTCTTTGCTGGTCATTTTCTCTCCAAATCTGGAATGATACAGAGTGACCAGAAACTTCACCCATTTCATCTCCCTTAACAGAGGCATCTGCCACATCATAACACGTGTAACATCTGGTCAGGAAAAAGCCCAAATCCCTCCCTCTACTTACTGAGTATAGAAAAGTGCAGCTCTGCTATTTACAGATTTAAACTCTTGTCTGTACTGAAGTTTTGTAAATATAACCTATTTTGAAGTCAAAGCATTAACAGTTGGACCAATGCCTATAGAGAAATCCAATTCAGACAGGCTGCATTTCCTTCAGTGCTGGTGTCCACTAATGTTTGCCTCTCAGCCCTCAAACAAACGCTACGCCAATATGAAACATTAAGACCCAGGGATTACAGTGACATTTAAACTGGTGGTTATCTGGACCTTGGCCTATAACTTCTTCATAACCCAACTTATGCATTCAAAAACATATAAACCAACAAAATAAAAACAAGCAAACCTTGAAAAATTTATTTGCTCTCCGCATGCCTTGTTTCCCACTGCATCCTGGAGTGGGAGCCCAAAGGGCAGGGTGTGTTTCTCAGCACTGGCCTTGCTGCTTCATGAGCTCAACAATTACTCCTGGAAGTCTCTTTTTTAGCAGAACTGACAGCCTGAAAAAATAAAAACAGTTTTGTTAGCATCTGTATGTTTAGCTACGTTAGAAATAACCTTATTACTGGCCCATAGCCAGATAAGTCATTAACTTCTCAAACACAAAGCCAGTAACTACACACTCAAAGAGAGCAGCTAGAAACATCTCCCTTTAATTCACATATTCACTTACACATTCTGCCTGGACAGCTTAGACTTAGCAACCAAAAGCTCCCTTCTCCATCCAAAGTTTAGAAATTGGTGGTATAACAAATTACAACATGTGCTTAACAGGAATGAGCTCCTTGTACTGAGCTCCTTGATTTCCTTTGGGGAGGGTCCATCCTGTGTCTACTCCCATATCCCTCAGCCAGCCAAAATTGCCAGGGAATAGATGTTAGAAAAGGGCTGGCACCATTAAGGTCCCTTTCCTATCAATGAGACACTAACACAGAACAGTGTTTGAGGGCAACAAGAAAGCTGTAGAAGACAACACAGAGGCATATTTTGGATCTGTTCCTACATGTTCATACTCAAAGCTTCTCATAGCCCAGTTCTGGATAGTAGTAGCTTGTGCAGCAACAACACGTGCAAAAAAAGTCTCTACTTTTTCCTCTGCATTCTCTACATGCAGAGAATTTCTATGTGACTTTTCTTGCACCAGCCAAATAAAACTCTGAAACAGAAAGTGGGTTTTTTCCCCCCAAAGCAGACTAACCTACAGCTTTTTTGCCCACATCATTTCAACAGGATAGAGACAGAAAACACAACTATGTTATTTGCTTAATGCAAACACATTTAAAATGGTCTCTAACTGAGCTCCTAAAAGTTGGCAAAGACAACTTCTTTCTCTACAAATTCTGTACTTCTGTGATGTTTAAATCAACACGTATGACGCACAGCAACTTGTCACAAAAATATCCCTCGTGTGACAGCTGAACTGACATACTACAGAATTAAAACTAGTACAAGGATTTTATTGTGCTTTTGCTGTAAAAAGCAGATCTTATTGAAGAGTCTGGTGATACAGGCAGGATATAACTACATAGAGTCTCAATTAAATTATCACATGTAAACACATAAAACTGAAACTCAAGTCTACTTTTCCATGTAAAATTCTTAAGCCGAAAGACAGGGCAATAAAATAACAAACATTTTCTTTGTACAGAATTATTCACTGGAATATATTTCTGTTCTACAGCAGGCTCATGCTGACTTCAGTGAAAGCAAGGCTGTCCCATTAAAACAAAACAGCAAACGATACAGGCTGCAAAACCACAATACGAACGGGACAAATTAACAATGGGCCAACAAAGTAAAAAACAGTATCAGACTGCAAGTTACACCCAAAAGGAAACGTGAGTAATAAGGTTTAAATAATATTTGTTCTTATTTTTACCATAAAAGCACTTGCAAACTTCCAAACACAAAGTAGAGCTTGTTGTTGGGGAAGAAGATGCAGCTACACAGAACATTTCAAATATACACCACAAAAACTCACATCGTCACCAGAGATAGTCAAGTGCTGCAAAATGGGGCTGTTAGTGCCAAGGCATCCGAGTTCATCCAAACTGCATTGACCTATGCTCTAGAAAATACCCGTGGTCACAAAGTCCATGGTATCACTCAGTGGGAGATAGGATGATGAGCTCTTCTGGCTGTAGCTTACTACTTAATCATCCTCTCTTCTCCAACCCAGCAGCATAGCCCAGCTCTACTCTTCAAAGAGACCCAGCTCTCCTTTACCCAATTCCCATATTAGCAGCTAGAGCTCAAAGTGGAGTAGCAACTCTCACCCACCCAGATCTCTGCAAAATCCCCCAGCTCACTGGGCACTCTTTCCTTCCCTGCTCTTTGCCTACTAGCACCTCACATGCAGCTCTTCACACTGCAAAACCTGGTATGATGCTACCTGCCAGACCTGCATCAATACAGACATGCAATTTTAGCAACGCCGACCAAACTGCCTTCACCTGCAAACACGAATCCCCTGGATCTCTGACGACCCATAACTACTGCAGAAATGTATCTCACTGGTACCTAATTGCAGCAATAGTGGTCTCACAAAAATAAAACTCAGTCATCCAAGATTTGCAAACGTACAGCTAAAACAACTCAATCTGGGCAGGAATCAGCAGAAACGAGTGCACAGTGCTTTTAGAGGGCAGATGGTGTACTACTTTTGATATGAAGGAAAAAAATTATGGCAAAGTAATAAATATCCCTCTACCAGTCAAACATTAATGAGAGACTTAAGGACTAGATCGAACTCTCTTCAGGGACTACTTACAGGTCAGAGGAGAGGGGCAGTTTTTTCCAAGTATTTCCAGAACTCTCTGCTCCCAACAAGTTTACTCTAGAACAGGGTCACAGCTTTCCCCCAAACAAGTCCATCAAACGTTCGAAGAAGTTTGCCACAAAGACCACACTCCTTGGCAACTCTCTGCCTGTTCTGTGATACCCATTTTCCTACATCTGCAGGGGCCTGAATAAGGCAGCTAAACATAAAGAATATCTATAAACTTCCAAATAAGTTATAGCATTTTGTTGCATACATATAAAGCTTTACTCATTCTAGTAACTTTTTATAGCGCAGTCTACAAAAAAAGCGTCTTACATTGATGACTTTATAACACTGATTCACTCCTCCTTCCCCTACCCTAGAACAAGTCTTTTAATATTAAGTATTCTTACTAAAATTCTATTGCGAGTGAAACACTTGTGAAGGAACCAATCTTAAAAGGAAATAATTATTTATCCACAATGAGGAAACTAAAAAAGAGAAAATCAATTACAAAATAAATGACAATTAATCTTTAATAACTGTCACTTAAACCTCACAAAAACATTACTCATATTTCAGAATACAACTCTTATTTTTCTGCATATTTAAGATGCCAAAACCTTGTACATTTAACATGAGAGAAGGATAAGGTTGCCATTTAATGGGAGAGAGACATGAGTAGGCTATCTCGGAACATTTGTAACTCAACAGGTTGGACTATTTTAGTCCTAGGGTACTATAACTTGAATTGTTAATTGATCTTGTACTCACATTTTCAATTTCCTGTTGAATAAGACGGTAAACAAAAATAAATGCCAACAAATGACTAACTGGTATGGTAATAAAAAACATCAGAACAAATGTATCATGGGCACTTCAACCTCCCTTGTGAAAACAAGTGACTTAACATTATACACGCAGTATTAGCATCCAAGTTACACAGGCAGCATCTCAGCTGCTATTTGGAAAGGGCTCATCACGCTCTCAGAGGGTAGGTGCTAGCTGCATTAGCAGACAGCGAGTACTACTTGCTTGCTTTCTCTAGGTTGCCAAACACCTTCAGCACAAACTACAGCCTCTGGTTAAAGCCAATGAGCAGGCGCTGAGCAACTCGGCAAACAGCTTTGTGAACACCTTCAATCACTGCTGCTACGGAGCCTCTCCTTCGTCTCAAAGAGAGGTATGAGACGCCACCAAACCCCCATGGGACTGAAGGGAAGGAAGCACAGAGGGAAAATTGCTCACGTGGTTCCCCCGAGGAGCTAGTTGCTTACCAAACTAATGAAGCACATTGCCCTTGTATAAAGCATGCTGCGAGCAGCTGACCAGGGGAGTGATGCACAGAACACATCCAGCCTTGGCTTTCTAACCACCAGAACTGGAGAGATTTAAGTTTCTGTTGCTGCTCCTCCTGCACTGTGTTGTACGAAAAATACAAGATACATCATTCCAAATGTGCAAGCATACTGGACACACGAGAGTTGGTGAGCCTATATGTTCAATAAGCAGCAAGAGCATGGGGAGTCCAGGCTGACTGGTGACACACCAAGGCAGGACTGCTCACGGGAACTGAGCGTTCCTCAGCTCCCATACTCGGCACATCCAGAGGGCCCATCCACAAAGGCAGATGTGCCACAGTATGCAACAATGCCTAGCAGGAAGAAGCTTTGCCAGCAGAGAAGTTGCATTTTCCTAGGCTTGCATGTTTTTGTTTTGGAAAACCACATTCCTCCAATGCAGAGTTTTAGGATTTACCCCAAACTGTTCCGTCAGGATTGAACCAAGTAGGTATACACTTCTGGGATGATCAAGACCACTTATTTCCCCACCTCTTCTGTTATTTTCAAAACACACATCTGAAAGCACTTTGAAGTGTTTTTTTTTATTATTATTATATTATTTATTTTTATTGAGGATTCAAGCAAAATATGAATAAGACTACAAAAAAAATCCCTAACATTTTTTGATCCTATACAAAAGAAAAAAAGAAAAAGAAAAAAAACACACATACACACACACACGCACCACCCTGTTCATGTCATTTATCTTTAATTCACTGATTCTATGGAAAACTGATGTTCATCACATAAATCCTCTAACTCTCTACCCAGCAGTTTTAATTAGAAAGATGATCATAAATTAATCCACTTGAGTCACTCCTGAGAAGGTGTGATTTAACAGAGATCATTCCACTCCAGAGAAATATGCACTAATTAGTTCTGGATTAGATTGTTTTTCTCTTTATTTAACATTTTAAGAGAGAGAGAAAAATAAACCACACACACACACTCAGCAACAAAAAAAAAGCTTGAACATTACACTCTGCAGCACAGTTGATGTTTTCTTACCTTGCATTTCATAGCCTTCTATTTAACTTTTTTATTAATTTCTTTAAAATAAGGCATTCAAACTGCAGTCAGGAAATGGGTTTCAGTGTCTCAGCTCAGGACAGAAGGTAGAAAATCTTTACAGGTTTCCTCACTTCGCTGTTGCCCATCCTCCTTCCCCCCCCCCCCCCCCCCTTTTTTTTTTTAAAAAAGCTCTCAGCCTTCAACAAAAGTTATCCAGTTCCAGCCTGGCCTATAACCCTGTATCCTGCTTCAGAGTCTTTTACCCTGAAAACGAGCACCTATTCCTTGACAGTGCTTGTACTCCACACTATACTCCATAGCTCACATTGCCCTTAGCTTGGCAAGGCTCATGCTTTCCTTTTCCAGCTCTACCTGCTGATGCTGT